TTCTTCCCGCGGATTTCCAATGGCGGGAAATGAGCGGAAAATTCCGTTTCCGGGTACGAGAAATTTCCGGCCGGAAATGCCCGGAAATTATACCGGTTCAGATCGGGTCCGGAGGCCGGAATCATCGACCTCCCAGGTCGAAAAGTACGGGCCGGTTCCGGCAGGAAAACACCGGAAGTCGCCGGAACTGGGGGCCAGTATTCCGGCCGGAAATTCTCCGTATTTTTTCCGGTGACTTTCCGCCAACTTCCTGCAGGAAACGGGAGGAAGTTGACCGGAAGTCACCGGAAAAAATACGGAGAATTTCCGGCCGGAATACTGCCACCCAGTTCCGGCGACTTCCGGTGTTTTCCTGCAGGATACGGTGAATTTTCCCGCATTTTCCTGCCGGTTCCTGCAGGATCTGTTGTCCGGAATCATTGACCTGGGTAAGTACGATGTTCAAAATACCTGAAGAAAAGTGTGGTGGTACTTGCAAAGCTGGTCTACATGGCATTGCATACAGTGATGGATGTTCTCGCGCCGTTGAATAGGCAGGACATGGATCATGTAAACATTTGAAAAAGTAGTTTTATATTCGAATTCAGTTTTCTCATGATCTATTCTATGACTTTAAAATGTAAAAATAAACCAAGAGTCGCTGAAATATCTTATTAATTAAAATTTCTAAGAATCAAAGAAACAATAATTAACTATAATTCACCAGTGCAGTTATAACTAAGAATATAATTGAAAGTGAAAAAACCTGAATACTTTTAAGTTTTATCGAAAGTATCGAATGTGAAATTAATCATCTTGTTTTATTACGATAATAAACTGAAAGTTTATAATGATTGATCACGAAAATAGTGCTTGTGTACTAAACTAATCTTGAGAGTGAGGGTCAGGGAGGAGATGCAGATGTCGTCTTTTCTTCACCAACATCTACTCACACTCACATCTATAAGTAAAACTCTAGATGCTTAATTGTTCTATTCCACTAGAATAGCAAGTCTATGATTCTAATAATGAAGCTTTTCATAATGATTACAGTCATGGGCACGTTTACTGAACGTTGGTGTTTTTTTTCTATAGAAGTCGACAACACAAGAAGTTAGCATCCTGTATTTTTGTCGTTTGAAAGAGAAGATCCAGTGAATTTGATCAATGCTTAATTCAATGTTGTCGGTCAATCGCGTCGATCGATTTAGAATAAATAACTGACACTTATCGGAACGATACGTTTCAAATTGAAGCCCTAAGAAGGGTGGGTGGGTGTGGATAGGTATTGATGTGAGTCTGGGCATTGATCTTCTCTTTACTCGCACTCCATATCTAAACAGAGATTCGCACACACCCCACCTACACGAACATCTAGATCCATAAGCATTCTGCGAGCTAAAGTCTTACATGTGTGTGAGTATTAATATGAGTGTGTGGATGCAATTCTTTATTATTTTCTGCACTCATATCCAAGATAGTTTAGTTGATTGGTGTAGAAATGACTGAAGAGTGTTACAAATATTATTCATAGAAGATTTGATTTCTTTTTAAAACAGAAATTAATCGGTGATTTTTGTTTGACGAACGGAGCTAAATAAATCTGACAAAAGAAAAAGAAAAAGATTTATCATCTATTGTATAAAATGATATTATAAAAATGGCGAAAGTCATCAAACCTAAAGAAGTTTTAGATTCATTTTTATTCAACGTCATAAGCATATGAATTTTTTTTTTATTAATTGATATGATTGATCTGGTTTAATAAATCGTACGAGATTTGTATAACGATATCTCAAATGTTCCGCTTCTCGTTGTAAATGAGTTAAAGTTTCTTGTTTAAACATTATCAAAATTATTGAATTGTATTGATATATCAATTTGAGAGACAACAGATAATTGAAAAGTCATTTGACAACATGTTCATTGAGATGTTTTAAATTTTCAAAGATGTTTGGAGAAAATTGAAGAAAAGAAATGAGTTAGAACCAAAAATTTTATGGTCTATGTAAATATAACTTGAAAATTTTTGCAAGATTTCCAATTTAGAAAAAATTAGACAACGATTCTGTATTTTAAAGTATTATGACAATAAAAGAGAAATAACATCCTATTTCAATTTATACATTGTAGTTGAATAGATGAATTATTTATTCTTATGAATTGAAATGTTTTACATTTTAAAAACTATAATTTTCTACTGTTCAACAGATCTCTCTAAATCGATTGCATGTTATTGAGGAACTTAGCTAGTTGTGAAAATAAAAAACAAAATGAACGATTCTCTTTTTTATCCGGGTACTACTTCTTTACTATGTTATTTATTCCTTATCGTATGCCTCTAAAAGAGAAATTCTATAAAAAAAAAAAGAAGCAAACTGTTGTTTTTTTTTTACTTGTATTTAGATTTGTTTTAATTAGACAACAACTGTGGGAATACTATTTTTTGCATGTGGCCTTTGTTCTGATTATAAATTTCTATACCTTCTAATTCGGATATTTTTCTTTAAAAACAAGCAATTTCTTATGAGACTAATCTAAAAATGTTTAGATTAGTACTCGTAAATCCCGACTAATATACAGAATTTGAAATCTATAAAAGTCATCGAAAAATTTTGATTCTTAAAATTAAAATCGAGATCAATGAGAGACTTTTTCTTGAAATTGTAAACAAAAATAGCCGTTTTACACATTCTTAGCTACAACAAGATAATGAGCATAAGAATCTAAAGTCTAACTGCTATTAAAATAATGTGCTGGGATAAATTGATAAAACCTTTTGCATTTCTCTAATTTTAACATTATAGATTTAGACAAGTAATGAAAATGGTGAGATAAAATCGCAAACATTTCAATTATCCGTCAGTCAGTACTGACTTACATGACTTTTCTCTGTGACTGTATATTCACTAATTTTGTGTTTGCCTTCTCTGTTTTATTTCTCTTTCGATGTTTGTTACTTTTCTACTAGCGTGTGTACAAAAGTTTTCGTCTTACACATAACTATCGTCATATTTGATTAAATATTCCCATTTGCTAATGTTCATGATAGCACAGAAAAAAAGGAAGTAGAAAAAAAAATTCTGAGAATATTAATGCAGGAAAAGCATGCACAGTTAACAAAATTTAATATTTATCATTAGAATGGAACAACATCTCTTTTTTTTTAATTATAATAGGATAGACAGGTAGGTAGGCAGTTAGAGTGATGAATGATTAGTTTTACCTCTAATCAAAAAACTTCTTTTTATCGAAACACGATCTGAAACTAGTGTTGAAGTATAAGAGTAAAAATTTGAACTTTCTAATTATCAGTGTCGATGTATTTAAGAAATGCAATATATTTCACTCAAATAAGCTCATTATTTAAATTTATTGTTACGAAAGACTAAAAATATAATACTTAAACAACATAAAACATATAATAGAGAAAACATTAATAAAAGTTGTTTGATGGAATCATCTTTCTATCTGAAGCACACATATCTAGTGTTTTATACGCTTCATTTTCAAGTTAAGTTAGAATAACAACTTCTTTGTACAGTGTATTTGTTTTGGTTTTAACTGAACATTTGTTATAAAAACAGTTTGAACAATTCATTTTTGTAAAATATATGAATCGTCAATGTTTGCTTCAATAAACAGTATATATCTTTCAATACTATTCGTTATTACCATAAAAGAATAATTCTGAAGATTTCTCCTTGATTTTATTATCTCTGTTAGGAATCTAATAATAATCTTACTGTGTTTTTATCTATCAAATCATCTTCGTTACAGACTCAACGGGTAATCTGCGTCTTACAGTCGACCACATAAGTTTAAGTAATCTCAATATAGTTGAATCATAAGCATATCGAAAATAGATTTAATCAAATCATGAATAAATCTGCCAAAGAACCTACTTAACGTTGAAAGCTACATATTATCCGTGGAATCAAATTGTAATGTCTTAAATATACTGAAATCAAGTACTTCACACATTCTATGATGAAAATTCATTAGAAATCAAAGAAATATAGTATAGATTAATACAGAAAATGAGAAAAATTTTTTGTTTACAGACTTACATGAGTAATGAGATCGATAAGTAGGCCGCAAATTAGAAAGATAGATAGTTAGACAATTAATTAAGAAGATCGAGAGATAATTAATTCAGTAGATTGTTTATTAGATAGATTTAAAGTTAAATTGATTACATAGACATAAAAGTCTTGGGATGATATTGATATATCTATGTAATTGGTAAATATCAGAATGACTAAAAATTCGTAATACATAAACTATTAAAAAATTTATTGCGTGTACGAAGTGACCGACGTTTATAACATATTTATGCGTTTTTTCATTGTTTTTTGTTCTCATGAGTAACTAATATCCTCAATCACGATTGTGACCTCATGGCTTATCGCTTCAGGTTCTCTTGTGACTATTGAATGATATTTAACTATGTTAGAAAAAAGAATATATGTAGAAGAGGATTCGTCAAGTTTTCATCGTTGCTCCTTCTATTTCTTAAACGAGGCAGTCTCATCATTTTACATTAACGATAATGTTATTATTTTCGATTTCTGATGCCGAATTGATGTCACCTCTATTATCCTGTTATTAATGAACCAGCATATTTCTTCATGTCTTTTTCTTGTGGAACTGTTAACGATTGTAATTAAACATCTGCCAGTCTTATGTCAATATCAATACATCATTTAAAGCATGGATATGAAGCTATTGTATGCTTTTCATATAGTCCAGATAAATTCACAGGAAAAAGAGATGCAAATATTCTATAACACGTCTTAATAAATGATTAAATTAAATTTCGATGAGAGAGTGTGAGCGAACTAACATTTATTATACAAGAGAAAACAACTTTTCTCAATTTTAACTATGAGTTCGAATTAGAGAAAAAATTTCATTGTAATGTTCTGAGAAAAAAATAATGGTATGTGAAAAAATGAAACCTTTTTGATATTCTAGATTAATAGAAAGAGAGAATGCATTTCGTTGCAAACCTAATCTTTATGATTTTATTACACTCTGTAATTGCTCCATTGCAAATTAATCTTGCATTCACAAATCAACTTAATGAAAGCAATAGTGATGCTGAATTTCTACGCACTTGTCTATATGTTGATGCCTTCTCCGGTCGTCAAAATGGTTCTTATCAAATAATTCCATATTTGTGTAAGTGACTGGCCATCGAAATTGAGTATTGAAATGAATAGTGATAATCAAAAATATACTTTTGAAGCGCTTCACAAACTAAATATCACTAGTGAACAATTATATCTATGGTCGGCACCAATTGATGTTGCTGAAAATTATCAATTCTATTTAAATCAACTTTCAATTTCATATGAACCGTCAATGGCAATGCAACTCTTCTACAATTGTACTTTACCTAGATTCGGTCCATTGTGCCAATATAAATTTGATGAGTACAAACCTCATTATACCTCATTAAATGAGATCATTGATAATTCTTATCTGTTGGGGTATAAACCGATTACATTTACGTGTTATACACACATACAATGTAATCGTGATCGAGCTCCATTATGCCTTGATTGGAGTGAAATATGTAATGGTAAAATTGATTGTATCGATGGTGGACAAGATGAAGAGCATTGCTGGCAGCTAGAAATTAATGAATGTCAAGAAAATGAATATCGATGTGTAAATGGACAACACATTCCACAGACATTTTTTCGGGATGATTCTGACATACCTGATTGTTTCGATGGATCTGATGAATTTGACAAAAGGAATACGACATATGATTATTGTAGTACTGCTGTGCCAACGATTGGTTGTGAAGACGTAGCATGTACAAAGATACCATACGATCGTCGGAATCTTTTGACAAGTGCATGTATGACATATCGAACAAATCTTATCATGGAGCAAATCTCATTAAAACCTGAATCGATATCTGACTTTTGTTGATCACTAGTTAAATGCCTTCTTCATTTATCAGATGTCATTAAAGATCAATCCTGTCATATATTTTGTCAATATAACAAATGTGATTTACTAATTAAACAGACTTGTCCGAACCCCTTTTACATACCCACGGAGTCGAGTTTTCTCGGTGGTTTCCACTTTGTCTACAACACAAGTGCATAGTTTTATACTCCTAATGCGTCAACAGCTCCTCAGTATTTATGCACGAACGATCACTTCTGTGATGGAGTATTCCAAGTTAGTGAAATGCCATCGCTGAAGAATACAATATGTTATCATTTTAAAGAGATTTCACTGTTTTACAAACCTCTTAGTATAAAATGGAGGTCGATTCCTCTTGAGCTGTCAATTCGCCTGCGTTGGGCATGCGATGCTATACTCAACAATTCTAAACTTTGTGAAGGAATGAACACGTACACATGTAAGAACTTCTCGAAATGTATTCAAGGGTATCGTCTCAATGATGGTTTTTATGATTGTTACTATAAAGACGATGAAACTTTCAAAATAAACGGCTATGCTCATTTCGAGCACTCATTTAAAAATTGTTTCCACTGTTCATGGAAAAATATATGCATTCCTTATCATTTAGTCAAAGATGGTATTTGTCAGTGCTCATTAGTTTCAGAGGAGTTATGTGAAGATGAAGACATAGAACTCCTCCATCAGAGAAAGCATATTTCATTTCAGACAATATGTGATGGTTTTATTGAACTATCACCAGTGACCATCGATGGAAGAAATGAAACAGATGAGACAGAATGTGAACAATGGCCATGTAATAATAGTTATACGCGCTGTGATCGTTATTGGAACTGTTTCAACGGTGCTCATGAAGTTGATTGTGATCCATCACCTTTATTAAATTGTCCAATTTATCATCACTTATGTGTCTCGAATGAGACGAAACAATTGACATTTATATCAATTAAACAAGGGTGTGGGTGTGGGTGTGGGTAGGTGTGGGTGCGTGTGGGTGTGGGTGGGTGTGGGTGTGAGTGTGGGTGTGACGAAAGATTACTCACACCCACACCCCACACCCACACCCACCCACACCCCACACCCCACACCCA